GAAATGTTTGTGCTTTGTTTGTTCCTTGGGCCATTTTTAAGGAGCCTTCCAAATTAGAGATGTCCCGGACCCACCCACCCATCCAAGATTTCCATTTCTAAGATGGCACCAGTGTGTAGGGCTTGCCATCCATCACGCTTTTGTTTTTAGGTCAGAGTAATGAAGCGCTGCGAAGGCCTATTGTAATCGCTCAGTTCATTAGACCTGAGCAATTTTCCCGTCAAATGATTTGGCCTTCTGGGGGCCTTAACTAAGGTGGCCAACGGGTGCAAGCGTGCAGCAAATGGCAAAACGTGCAGCAAACACATGTATGATGCAAACTCAAAAACATGCAAACACAACAAACAAACACAAAAAAATCAAATGCAAAGACAAAAAAATAAAGCGCAAACTAAAAAAAACACGCATGCAACCACAAATAACACATGCAACAAAACAGAAAAATGCTGCAAACAGTGAGAACACCTACAAACTCGCTCCACATAAACAGAAGTGCTCCAGACCACTAGGGGCAGTCGAACAAAGAACAAATCATAAAAGAAACTTGGAGGAAGAAAAACGGTTTGTTATACATACACACGTATACGTACACACGTATACGTACACACGTATACGTACACACGTATACGTACACACGTATACGTACACACGCGTACACACACACACACACACACACACATCAATCAACCTTTATTTCTACAGGTAAATCCCATTGAGCCTCGAGGACTCATTTACAAGAGAGACCTGATTTAACAAAGAAAGATGACAACAATGGACAACAGCAACAACAATAAACAGTTATAAAAAAGCATACTACAGTTTTTTTTTTTAACAAATAGGATGGCTAAAAGGAAAAGGTAACAAAACAAAAAACAGCTAGATTCCAAGACAAATGTATAAAACTAAAAACAGGAACATGTCTGCATTGGTCCCTGCCAGGAGTCCAACAGATTCTTAAAGCCACTTAGAGAGGTCAAAGGTCGAGAGCTTACAGAGAGCTACATACACACATATATACATACATATATACACACACAATGTACAATATATATAGTGTTTATATTCATTCAGACACGCTGTTTTTACAATAGAGCCTTTTCACATGACGTCAGACAACTTAAGTTCTGACTCGATGTTGATCAGCACTTCCGGGTCTATTCTCCCTCGGGAGACCTGTCTGGAAACTTTACGGAATTTCATTCATCAACCTTTATTTATAAAAGGTCAAATGACAAGATATAGCGCAAGGTAAGGTTAATAAAAACAGTATTTATGTGTTAGTTAGCTGTGGTAACGTTATCCATCATGATCAATTTACCATTCTGTAACTGTGTAAGGAAACAGCCTCTGATTGTAAAGTAAGCTAGCTAGCAGCTAACAGGTAGCTAAACTCTACACCGCTGCTGCCTGTCAGTGCTGTAACATTAAAATGTTTAACTTTATCTATTAATGTAAAATCTCTGACATTTTCCAACACTGTTGTTTAGAATAGAATTTTAAATATTGAATTAAAAACTATATGTCAAACCTTTTCCATGTTCTGATGATTAATAATTTCTCTTTTTACTTTCTTCTTGTGTCCATCTTTCTCAGCAGCAGCAACTCAGGAAGGAAGACACCCTGAAGACCCAGGCTCGTCTGAGAAGTTTAGCAGAGAGGCGAAGGGTGAAGGAGTAGCAGTCAACCAGGAGGTTCAATCATCTGTGGGTCATCTGCTGCTGCCTAATATCAAATTATCAGGGTCCTCTTGATGTAAAAAGAGACAAACCAGTCTAATATCTATCTATCTACACACACACACACACACACACACACACACACACACACACACACACA